CTTTCTTTCTTTCTTTCTTTCTTTTTTTGAAAAGTTAGATAAATGTGCTTCAAGGACAAAGCCAGCCACCAGGTCAAAACAATGCAAGGGACATTCTCAGAATTGAACTGGAATGGACCCAGAGCCACTAAAGTGCTCAAGAGAGAGGAAGGAGTCGCTTCTGGGCCCCACAGTCCTCTCCCTCCTTTTGTTTCTCAGGCCCTGGGGGGCTGAGTGAGGAAGGAGAAGCTCTGGTATCACCCCAGGCTGCGTGCCCAGCTGCCAGGTGCCTTTAATGCAGCATTTCATGGGCACTGCAGCTTCTGGTAGATTCCCGTGTCCGCCGTGCCAGGCAGGTTCTAGCCATTGCAGGCCTAAAGTCCGTGGGGGAAAAGATAGCAACATGTTTATTTTAAAATACTAACTGCTCCAACCAAACCACAAAGTTTATTTCCAGGGTTTTCCCCTCAACCTTCAAAGTACTTCCGAGGCTCAGAATGAAAGCACTGTCAAAATGTCCATCTGCACTGGAGAGGGATGGAGAACACCGTCTTGCCTTTTCTCTTTGTCTTTTGGGTGTGGTGCTAGCTGGTGAACGCAGGACCTTGGGCGTGCTGGGAAGGCACTCCACTACCGAGCTGCCCTCCCAGCCCGCCATCTTCCTTTTGACCCGAATCCTGGCCTGGGCTACCTGCTGACATCACATGATCAGTGACACCATCCTGGCCTGGCAGACGGTTCACACAGGAGGACAAGCTCCTGCGCTGGTGCCACCCATGTGGTCCCATGATGCCCAGTCACTGGTGGGGCCCCAATGACTGGAGTCACGGCATTTCCTTTCCCAGGGTCCCTGACAACTGAGAGTTTGGAGAAGTGGGAACCTGACCTCAGGGCCAGGAATTTCTTTCTTTGTCCTCCTGACGAAAACTTGTTTGGCCACCGCGTCCACACACTTTCCATCTTCCCCTCACCCACCTTCCCACTGAGAGCCCACAGCCTGGCCCTGTGTGAGCCTGAGGCTTGATTCAGACCCTAATCAGGACTGGGTACAAAAGCTCCAAGCTGGAAGAAGATTGTATCTTGACATGAAGTGCATTGTCGTGGCCACAGAGCCATCTTCAGATGGGTCTGTTGTGGACAATTCTTCCGCTGGTCTCCGTGGTACTGAGAATTCCCAGTTATCACTAACATGATTTTTGGGGAGTGCAGGGGGCTGGATATAACTGGCCAGTAGTGAAGTTACCTTGAGGGTTTGGGCAAGTGTGAAATGGAGACCTTTGTACAGAACCATTAGTCAAAAGCCTTGGGTTCTCAAACCCCACCCGTTCCCTACCTGAGACACACCAGCATTCATCAGTGGGGCCTCGGCACCAACCATGGGGGCCTGGGCTGGGTCCGAGTTTGAGAAAACAAACAGGAACTGCTGTCTTACAGGACAGGTATCATGGAATCTATGCTTGGAACATCTTGGGACTCTGACTGCCCTGGCAGCTAGTGAGTACACGGATGCTCGTCACATGTCCCACATGGTATTGAAGATGGGCTGGGTGTCTCTGGTGCATTGAGAGCGGCATAATGTCGTTGCTGGGCCAAGCTTGTTCTCTATCACATACCTGAGACAGGGAAAAGAGATAGCACCTTGTACTCTTAATCCTCCCTCCATTTGAAAGTATTCTCCCCTTCTCTTCTGGAACTGCCTGAATTTCAGCAGAGCTTTAAAAATATATATGTTGTGCATAAGATTAATTGTCCCTGCATCTATGCCCCCAAACTGATGTGACTTTAATTTAGCACGTCATACCATTTCCCCGGGTTGGACAGATTGCTGGCCTTCTCTATCTGTCTCCCTTTTCTTAAGGCTAAGCTCTAGAAGGAAAGGGTCAGCCAGGATCCGAGAGACCTACTACTCAGGCAGATTCTTGTTCTGCTCGAGACACGCCCTGTAATTCACAACTGAGTCACCTCCTGCAGTCAGAAGCAGGTTTATCTGCCCTCACTGATCTTTCCCATTTGCCCTTCGACCTTCCCCGGACACAGAAGACTGCAGAGTGAGGTCCCCAACTCTATTCCCTAAGGAAGCCCTTCCCCGCCCAGTGGCCATCCTTCAGAGCCCTCTGCAAGAGGCACTCATGGAGGTCTCTGTGCACAGCCGGTTGGCACTGTGGACTCCGCAGCACCCACCTGCTTGCCTGAGGCTGTAGGGGAAGAGAGAAGGCTCAGTCTCGCCGTTCTCTAACGTTCCCTTAGATGGGGAACAGAAGGCCCTGAGAGAACTGAGAGAACCCCGGCAACTCCATGTAGCCCGCCTTGAGGAGCTCCTTGTTCATAGTGAGACAGGCCTGTCCCTGTGGATTCTGGCCAGGACAAACACAAAAGCGTGAATCAAACAAGATGAGAGTAGAGGTGAATGTTGGAAAGGCAATAACCTTAATTCGTTTCTTTGATTTCTCTCAAACAAAGGCCCTAAATTCCAGCATGGTGGATTCACACAGCCACTACCCTCAAAGACTGTCACATAGCCATGTGACCTCACCTGCCCTCAGTCGTCCACTCTGTTGGGAGCTGGGGACCAGGAACAAAGGCTGGGACACCTGTCATCCAAGACGCCCTTCTCTTGGCACAAAAATGCAGTGCCATTGCTTTTGTTTTGGCAGCACTTTACCTTCGGAATGGGAGCAGTGGGGTACGAGTGGGCTGGTGTTGGGGTTTGCCTTGCCCTGAGCAGCACAGGCTGAGTGAGCAGGGAAGAGGTTTTGTTCCAGAAATGTGCCAGTGGCAATCAGGCTCTCCTGTCTGCAGAGAAACCTGTCGGCAACAGATGACTCAGAAAGCAAATGATTGAAATTGTCCTGAGGGCTGGCTCTGCCTTCTGGGGAAGTGAGACCCACCGGGAGCCTGGCCTAGGCTGGAACTCAGAGGACCTCTGGCTTCCCCATGTGGGCTGAGCTAGTCCAGAAGGGATTTTTTGTCAACATTTGCTTTCTCTAGATAAGTAACAATCTAGTTTTCAGACCTGGGGTGGGGGGTTGCTACCCTCATGTTTGTAGGCTTCTAGCTCTATGCCTGAGGGTCAGTGGTATCCCTTAAGGACAGTACAGCACTAAGGACACCAGTATACCTCTGTATTTTCCCCAGGCCTCTAGTGAGGCTGTTATGACTTCCCACTTCTGCAACTGCTGAGACCAATTCCACACTCAGCCAGCATCCTCTGACCACTGCTGGGTCATGTGCCAAGCGATAGCAGGCATCTCCCTGTCTTATTTCAGAACCCTGGGGGAGATGCCCATGAGCTTTGGTCTAATACCCATGGGTGAATGTCCAAGCCTACAGTACTCATCTCCAGTCAGAGTCTCCAGGATAAGATTCTCGGGCCTTGCCATGTCAGCCATTCAGGTGTTTTAATGGTGGACAGGCAGTTCCTCCTTTTATTTAATGTAAAATTCCTCCACCTTTCATTCAAATGTGTTTTTTCTTGTACTCCATCCCATGAGTCCTTTCTTCAGGTCCTAGATGATTAAATGCACCAAGCGGATGAATTGGATCCACTTGAAAATCGCCTGATTTGTATGGCGAGTGAATTGCATTTTTCCTATATTAGATTTTCCTAAGTCTACCTATGGTACCTGCCTTGTTGGGCTCAGCGTACACAATGATTTCAAAAATAGGTGTCTTTGTTTTACGCTTGACAAGTCGCAGAGGACTTTCTCATTTTCATTCTTGCAGCAGCCCGGAGTCGGGTTGAATAAGGGAGACATCCCTCCTGTGTTACAGATGAGGACCTGGGCCAGAGAGCTGGAACAAAGAGCGCAGCTCTAAGGGCCAGGGTCACATGCAGGCCTTCTGACTCCAAATCCAGTGCCCCTTTCTCTACACTGTAGTCCTCGCCTGAGGGTGCTGCCTGGACTGGGGAAGCCCAGAGGGTGCTGGGCAGTAGGGGTGTGGGAGGAGGAACCTCCCTAGGATTAAGCTGATGCTATGGGCCTGCCCAGAGCTCCTGATAGGAAAGTGAGCCTGCTCATCAGGGTGTGCCCCCAAACTTCCAGCCTGGTACAGGGCTTGTGCCAATCCACTTAACACAGCTCCTGCTGCAGAAATGCCAACCTGTTGGCAAAACATCACCTTTTTCTGGAAAAGGAATCATAATATCCAATTTATAAAACTAGGCAATGTTTATTCAACATTTATTCCCTATGCGTCCGCACACACACACACACACACACACACACACACCCTGCCCCAGCAGTAGACAAGGTGCCTTTGTCCATGAAGGCCCTTGCCTATCCCCTCCTCTAACCTGATCCTGGGATATGGGATGGTTTCTGGACCCTCAGCACGAGTCTTGGGGCCTGGGAAAGGCACTTCCACATATGACCAATGTGTGAGCATCGAAGGAAAGTGACCTCAGAAAGTACCTTCAAGAGACTTGGCTTCATGCCTCCCCCTGTCACACACAACTTAGAGGAAGAAGGATTCTTCAGATACCCCCTTACCATGTATCAAGGGTTATGCTGAGTCTCCAAAAGAAGAAAATTAACTTTGTCCCTGATGGCTGTTCCACCGTCCGATACTAGGAACAACTACTCACAAGTGTGTATGCCAGGCGTCTGTCCCCATTCACTTCTGGGCAGCCAGAGTCCTTGCTTTTTTTTAGTCTTCCCAAGGATGCACATATCTGGCAGTTGGCATGTTCAGGGATTTGAACGCGCCCTGGAGAGTGGTCCTCCTAACACAGAGAGAGACAGAGGTAGGTATAGCTTGTGGAGCGTGGAGGGATCTCTCCCATCTCCCCTTCCTGTCTCAGCTCTTTGCCCCTAGAGAAGAGGAGACCAACCCAGAACTGGATGCTTCCTGCCTGCCCACTGCGCCCTCTGCTGGGAGCCCAGCAGCCTGGTCTTCAGCCCCTGGCTGGGCAACGTTTACAAGGTGACTTTGAGCTGAGACTCAGCCATTGTGATGAGCAAGTGCATAATAAAGCAGGACCGGAGTTTTTTGTTTTGTTTTGTTTTTTTAGTCTGCATTCTAATACAGCCTTCTCCACAGTGTTTTTAGTGTCATTTGATAGAAAATGACTAAGCCTCCAGGGAGTGGTGATATAGACCCTAGATAAGCTGCTGATTGTGAAATTCCCTTTAAGCCTCTCAAACTCTGGGCCTCTGCACACACAGGAAAGGAGAGGTTGCCAGGGTTGGGCAGAACACAGAGTTCTCTTGCCTTCTGAAGGCTGGGGAGCTGGGCATCGCTGGGCAGCACTCTTCCTTGGGTGTGCAACATCCTGTCTCCAGGCACCTTCCTCCGGCTGGGTTATTCTCTAGGGAGCTCTCCCTGCTGGAAAGAGGCACAACCAAAAGCCACCTTCTCCCACCCCTAGCTAGGTAGGTCTGCCCAAAGCCTCCCTGGACCCGCATCCCTCCAGAGGAGGAAGAAGCTGGAAAAGCCTTCCCTCTGTCTTCCACTGTGCCTCCGTCTCAACCCTAAAACAGAACAGGCTGGTCTCTTCCTTTGTAGAGGGAGTTCACTGCCTGAGTGAACCAGCAATCCACAGTCTGAGCTCTTTTCATTTTCCCGAGCACAGAAGAAAAAGGTGTGTGTTTGACTGAGACAGTGCCACCTTTTGAATACCTCCACTTGGTACTCACCTCCACGTGTGAGAAGGGCCAGATGTTATGTGCAAGTTTAACCTGTATTCAGACCTCCCCAGCCCCTTTTCTGCCAATGTATTCCCAAGTAAGCCATTCGCTTGCTATAAGCTTCTGTAATTTTTTTTTCTTTTTCTCTTTACCCTGTTCTCTCCATGGCTGTTGATTCGTTTGGGGCTATGGCTTCAAAGGGACTCACTTTGGGGCTTCCCTGCCCCAAGAGCATCTATCTAGAGGCAGCACTTTCTGCTTTGTCTGTTGAGTCAGGAGCCAGGCCCAGCTTGGTTTGGTCTCTCTCTGTATCTTAATTCCTGCCAGCCTGGCGTGGTGTATCTCAGTGTCTTTGAGCCCCTGTGACAAGTGGGTGAAAATCAATCCACTCGTGGCTCTTCAGAGCCCCCAGAAGTGAGGGCCTACGACCACGGGCCTCCAGACAAGCTTCCCCTTGGGACATTCTTCTCGCCTGTCATCCTGAGGCGTCTGTCACAGGGCAGAAGAGGGAGGCAGGAGGGAACAGTGGCCTGCAGTGTGTGATGCTCAGGCTGCCTGGCTCTTCAAGATGGGGGTAGCTGTTCCCCAGAAGGGGCTAGCCCCAAACTTGACCTGTAGTTTAAAAACCAGAGAGTTAACTTTCACAAGTAAAGTTAAAAAACAACAACAACAAAAAAAAACTTGTTCCACTTTGGAAAAGAAAATGAAGAAACTGCTAAGGGGGAATAACAGCAACACAAAACCTGGTGGGCAGGCGGTGGTCCTCACTGGGAAGGGCACGATGAGATTTAGAAGTGGGCAAAGGGGGGTCCTGAGACGGTGTCACCTCCCACCCTCCCCCTGCCCCAAGGTGCAGCACCGCTACTCTGGGTTCGTGGGTGTCGAGTCCCCTTTGAGGCAGAGGTGCATTCTGAGCTTTCTTAACTTGGAGTTGACATCTGAGGATAAACTAACACAAACCGGGCATTTGTGTCAGAGATGCTTTAAGTTACAAATTGCTTCGGTCAGTGTGCTCTGTATTCATACTTCCTTGTCTTTTCTTTAAAAAACAAAAGGGAAAATGTTTCAAATGCCCCCTTTCCCTCTACTGCAGGAGGTGAGTGTGTGGGTGTCCTGTAGGACCACTGGCTCCACCCAGCTTTGGCCCAACTTCAGGTTACCATTCCCACCCATCCGTCCTTCCATCCCCTGCTCTCCACCCCAGAAGGGAACCCTCCGCCGCCTTCATTACTGTTACGTTGAGATGTGCGAACTTCCCATGACATATCCCATCCTCCGCCCACTTCAGTATTGGTGACTTTCATGTAGGAATATAAACGGGATGGGGTGGGAAGGGAGGGAGTAGCCAGCGGGGAG